GTTTATAACAATTACTTTACAAATAATCTTGAATGATGACGTCAGTGTCTGAGTGAACAAATGATGCGGAAAGTGTCAGAATGAAGTTTGTAATGATCGTTGCATGAGTATCGCTTGCAAACTGATAGTAATGGAGTTCGAGTGATGGTAAAGGCGAAAAGACAGTATGATGATCTAACTCAATACCTTGCTATTTAATCATAGACGACTTTGCACTGACGACTAATGGTAATACATAGTCTCTTATAAGTTTTTTTCATTAACAAGTTTAGGTCTCACTTTATTCCTGTTCAATCTATGGAGAATTCCCATATACCGTAAAGAATCATGGTCAATAAGAAAGAAGTTGAAAAAATTTAACATCCGTTTTGCTAATGTTCATATACCAAATTTAACATTCAAGCCGTGTCGTTCATTTAAAGAAGATAGAAATGTCTTTGTATTTCAATAGAATATGAAATAATATGAATATTTCATGTGACCGACATTAGATACAAACCTAGTGAATTAAGTTCATTTCTTATAATATATTTTGTTATTTTAAAGGCTATATTACCTAATAAGTTTTCTGAATATCATCTCCTTTTGGTTATAGGAATAAGTTTATTAATGGAGGTCTTAATTTATCTTCATTTTAATTTGAAAAAGTAAGGTGAAGTAGATTACAATAGTTAAAATTTAATGTTGATTTCCTAGTCTAGCATCATACAATGATAATGCTGCAACAAACGGAAATATTTTCAGAACCATTTTTCCATTAAGTCAGTGCAATATTAGGAAAATGCGTTAACTTTACTTCTCAATAGGTAATACCGGTAAATTTTTGATAAGTGTCTTGGGGTCACATTAACGGATGGACCCTTTAATCAAATATAAAAAGAAGTGAACATTCATCATTTAACACTTAATTCAGTTGAAGTTGAATGACAAGGATAGCATCCATAAGGCCGTCAAGAAATCGAAGCACTCATCAAAACTTCATTTTTTGATTTGCTCTTTTCATCTTGTTCAGCATCGTCTAAAAATTTTAAATTCAAATTTTAAGCGCATTTCGTTGAGCTCGTAAAAAGTTAGTTCGATCTGATTTTCGAGCATTAACGAGAATTTATGAAGAATGTCGTCGAAAATCGTTTCTATAAAGTTGGATTTTTTTTCAGATGAGAACAAATTAACTAAATTCTTCGTGTAATATACCACAAGATAGAGCACTGAAAGCTGAACAAAATTACCTATTTACATATTATATTTATATCGAGTGATGCATAGCTACTTATGAAATTCTTCTCATGACTGCTCATTTTTAAGTAAAAAATGAGTGAATGTTTCGTGTTGTATCAAATACCATTCGGTCTTTTTTAAAAACTTCAGGCTACTTTTCATATATATCGTGCAACTGTTTCTCTTCTGCAAGATGTTTTTAAAAATTTAAAGGAAGAAACTTTGATTTTACGTCGAGAAATAGCTTGTCATGTTAATTAACCAGCCAGTATTTATTAGAAAATATTACTGTGGGTGTTTTTTTCTTAAAAAAACACAAAAGTTTGAGTAGATTATGAATGATTCAGAGGACTTTCCGCATGGCTATGACATATTTTTATGAATATGAGCCTGTATAAACTAATTATTTAATACTAGTTTTCTTTTATAGAGGTGAGATTGGTTAGCTAATCATAGATGGTTATAATGATACGTTAAAACATTTAGGAACAAGTGGTATTCCAAAATCATGCAAAAACTACACAATCCGTTCAAAAATTATATAATTAATTGAAAAGAAGATATCGAAGAAAAATGGAAAAAGTTCATCTGTTCACTAATTGAGGCCTGCTAGCAGTTCGTCTTCATGATGTTCTTATTCTTCTGTGTATGACTGAGTCTAATTTTCAGGTCATAAATTCTACCATCAAAACATTTGCATTTACCAATTTACCGACGAAATATGTAAAAGATCGTATTTTCTACTGCTAGAGAAGTTGATCCAAAAATTGGTTTTCAGGTAATTGATGTAAGTACATTACAAGCTTAATATTATGATCAGTTCTTCATATAGTTATTTCTGTTTATTAAGGGTACACCCCCCCCCCCTTTTCCGAGTTTCTCAAGAATGACTCGACCAAAAATTCTGAAACCTTCAGAATAGATAGATCTCGAGTAGTAGAGTAAAAGTTGTCAGAGACTCAGAAATTCCAGATGCTTTCTTCTATGCAATACAGAGGGCGCAAGAGCCAAAGATGACCTGCTGTTTTCTCCCTTTTTCTCCGAGATGCTTCGATCGATTGAACTAAAACTTTTTATGTGACAACTAGGACCAAATCGAGGTGTATGTTTTTTCTTCTTTGAGAAATATTGTTTCCTTCGCTTGGGAGATCCAAAATACTGGAAGTCCTGTCAAAAAACATGTTGTTTTTGCTTAGGGCAAATTTTGCAAGATCTCCCAAAAGTCACCAGAACATTATTTTAAGGAAAAAAAAACACCTACACCCAAGGGGGAAAAGGCGATACTCCAGGAATGCATACTCCACCGATACTCCACACTACTCCACCGGTACTCCACTCATACTCCACCGGTACTCCACTCTACTCCACTGATACTCAACCGATACTCCATTCGTACTCCAGTCATACTCCACTCTACTCCACTCTACTCCAGTCGTACTTCAACCTTACTCCACTAGGGATGCAACGGTGATGATAACCGTAGGTGCGGTTACCAAGTCAAACCCATTCGCAAGAAAAACACCATTTTATAAGAAAACAACGATATTTCATAAAGGTTGACGAAAGTAAATCGAAGTCGGAGAATCCGAATCTGAAGTCGGTTTTTGAAAATTTTGAATTCAATTTTTTCCACAAAGGAAAGGGTTTTTAGAAAAATAATGATATTCTATAAAGGTTGACGAAAGTAAATCGAGTTCGGAGAATTCGAATCTAAAGTCAGTTTTTGAAAATTTTGAACTAATTTTTTCGACAAAGGAAAAGGCTTTTCAGAAAATTAATTATATATTATAAAGGCTCAAGAAAGTAAATTGAAATCGAAATCGAAGAATCCAAATCTGAAATCAGATCCTTGAACTTTTCAATTTTCTCTTCCCAAAACTAAACCGCTTCTTGAAAATCGTCTTTTTTTCTAGAAAGATTTATTCCTGAGAAAGATTATATGTGAAGACTAAAACTCAAAATTTTCAAAAGCTGACTTCAGATTCAAATTCCCCGACCTCGATTTACTTTCATCAACCTTTATGAAATATCTTTATTTTTTCAAAAAACCCTCCCTTTCACCCAAAAAAATTAGTTCAAAATTTTCAAAAACCGACTTCAGATTCGGATTCTCCGACCTCGATTTACTTTCGTCAGCCTTTATGAAATATCGTCATTTTCTCATGAAATCGTGTTTTCTTGCCAACGGGTTTGAACCGGTAACCGTACGTACGGTTATCATAGTTAGACCGGGAACCGTACCTACGGTTATCAGTTTGGACCGGTGAAACGGTGACGGTTAAGGGGTGAATGATCGTCACCGTTGCATTCCTATACTCCACTTGTACTCCAATGATACTCCACCCTACTCCGGTCGTACTCCAGTGATACTCCACCCTACTCCAGTGATACTCCACTCTACTCCAGTCGTACTCCAGTGATACTCCACCCTACTCCAGTGATACTCCACTCTACTCCAGTCGCACTCCGCTCTACTCCAAATTCTTTTTTGGAGTAGATGGAGTATCGCCTTTTCCCCCTTGGACAGTATAGTCTTTTATCAATTCTTTCGAAGGAATACGAAAAAATATTAAACATGATTTTTTTCAGTAATGATCAAACTGATGAATTAACTTGTATATATCTTACTATAGGCAGTAAATTTACTATCATAAGCATTATTGCTCGTAATCTAAGAAGTTCTAAATTAAGTACAAGATGAAGAAATAAATTGTTCAATCATTATCTTGTTCAAAAACCAATATACTTTATGACTTGTAGATGAAGCAGAGAAAAGAAAAGTTTTTTTTTTTAGAAAACTATTTTCTGTATTAGCGCAACCAAGGAAAAGAATGTGGGAGAACTTATTCGTCTGATTCTGTCTATCTAGAGGGCGAATGTCCTTTGATAAGGCCTCTAGAGAGAGCTCAAGCCGTTCAGGATGAGCTACGCTCAAGTCTATTTGCGACATTAGAGTACTTACTTCAGAAAGTCTCGATTGAAGTCATAAATTGAAACTATTTATTTCTCGACACTATTTCAATGTACTCAAGTTTATGGATAAGCAATCAAGTAAATCTTATTAACAAAGAAAGATCTCCATGTGTGACTCATCAATCAAACTACTATTTTGCCTATTATTAAATCCCTAACGGGACTAGTAGAAGCCTATCAAGACTTATCTTTATGCGCTATCTTTCTCAAGTTATAATTCTAAGGTATTCTTTGTCTCTGGCAAGTTATTTGTTTAAAAAACTCAGATTAAAAAATTTCAACCTGAGATTTTGCTCATAAGTAGATCTCATGGACATTAGAATACTTTCAAGATTTCAGTCTAAATTGCACTTGAGATATCAAATATTGAAAATGCAAAGTTCTCTTACCTTTCCTTCTTGTCAGCGAGAAAAATTCAGTAAAATTCTAATAGCTTGCAAAGGAGAGGAGCATGGAGACGATCCCTTATAGACTCCCTAATAGTCTCATTGAGACTTACTTAAAAGTAAAATATCAGCTGGATTGATAAATGACACTTGAATACGTTCTCGCGTAAGGGAAAAATTCTAAAGAATAACGTTTCAACTCGAACAGAAAAGCAAAAAGCTTACGGAATGGGTAGTTATACTATATCTAGTCCAAACTTTTCAAAAACACCACATCACAAAACTCATAAAATACAATGAAGCCTAGACTATAAACTTTTTGTTTTAAATCAAAAAATCTTTTCTTTTTATCTATCTATTATTTCGAACTTCTTCAAATGATTAATATCTTATACACATATATATCATAATTTTCTATTAAACTTACCAATTACAATGATGATCAAATTTCATTACACATGTTCCATCCAAAGGACAATGTTTTGATCTTAATGGTCGACGTATAAGACAAGTAACACAAAAATGATCTAATGTCCATCGTGGATCACGTGCGAATGCAATGCAGATTTTTTCTTTTGATAAATTATTTCCATCAATAGCCATTGTTTGTTGTTTTAAAAATCCTGGATTCAATTTTTTACAACAATATAAACAGTAAATACCATAAAATGTTGAAAAATGATAAATGAAATCTATTATTGTAAATCTATTTTCTTGTAAATAAACGCAGTAAGTAACATACATTAATATTGATGATGATAAAACATATGAAAAAGCAAAATTATCTTTTGTATACGAATCAAATACAAAATAATTAAATAAATGTGAACAACCAAAAATAACAACAATTGGAAATATAATGCGTATCCAATAATTATATTCATGTGCATTAGCTGATAAACCAATTAATGTCATAACAAAAAACATAAAAAATCTTGTTAACCATCTTCGATTATATTCATTTGTAAAATATCGTCGTAAAAATGTTGGTCTTATATTTACTTTACTTGATTCTACACGTTCATCAATCATTCTAGCAGCATCTAAATTTTGTCGAATACGTGCAAAAAATGACGGATCTAAATTATCAGCATTTTTTAAATGAACATTTATTTGTGGATTTTTTAATAGAACTTGAAAACTTATTGAATTTAGATTATTTATTGAAAAATGTAATGGAGTAAAACGACGTGTTGGTTCTTGATAATTAACATCTGCACCAAACGTTAAAAGAAATTGTGTACAACAAACATGTGATGAATTTGGCAATGGAACATAATTTTGTGGTGGACCAAGACATGAATATATTAATGGTGTAAAATCTCGTCCATCATGACATTCAACATCAACACCAGAACCAAGTAAGTAAGCAAGTATTTTTATTTGACCATATTGAGCTGCAATATGAATTGGTTGAACACCATTTATATCACGTGAGTCAATTGCTGCTCCATTATCAACAAGAAGAAAGAAGGTTTCGGCAGCACCTTGTCGACCTGCATGTATATATATATATATATATGTGACAATAGAATATACTATGTTTATACGAAGAGTAATGATAATGATAGAAAAAAAATTTCAGAATGGATTACAGCCCATGTGGTGCAAAATTTTCAGACTTGATTTATTGAATGTTTTTTTTTCACTTGGGTACGGGCTCGGTTAAGGAAAAAATTACAGATCTGAACCAAACAAGCTCTAGAATGAATATATTGTTGTCATGAATTGATCAGCGGCTGTTATATTTCGATAATTTTTTTAAGAAATTTTGAAATGAAAAAGAGGAAAAATGTTGGTACAAAATTAATTGAGAATAAACTAGATGGTAACATTTTCAAAAAATGATTTGAGATGCCGAAAATTTTTAAAAATCAAATATCTAGTTTTTATCTCGTTGTGGGCGGAATCAGCCGATCGATTTACACATCTACTCATATGTCATAATCTATTTACTTTTAAAAAGATTTATGAAGAAAGATTTGTCGATTTGTATTGGAAATTGTTATCCTTTATAAGAGTTTATATAAAAACATATAAATAAACTTACAAGACTCATACTCAGTTCATAAAAGTCATTAATAGAAAAACAATCTGTTTCCTAACCGATAATTATAAAATATTTAACTGTATATATCTGAACTTTAGACTTTCTTTTATAGCATGAATTAGAAGAAAACTATTGAAAGATGATGTCAAGTTCTTTTGACAATAGATTAGGAATTTTTACACACCATCACTTAATAAAAAAATTGTTTTAGCACGATGGCGTTATAAATAGTTTTGAATTCAGATCTCGTGATATTTCAATAACATTTTTTTGCTTAATACTAAATAATGCCTGAGAAAAAATTCCACTAATTAATTGCAAAAATCTACACTAATACTACAAAGGTATTTATAGTCATTATATACATTTTTTTTTCTTTAGAGGAAATGGCTTAGAATGTGAACTTATAATGAATGATTTACAGACATTAGTCCTTTTGAATAAAAAAAAAATAAGCGTGAGAATCCCAAGCGTACTCAGTAAATACTTTCCTTCACTTCGTGACTATATAGATTATTCTCTCTCGAATCTACCTATAAGAAAATGTAAACTATTTCTGGACAATATTGATTTGATTATAAACAAAAAGTTCTACATACATGCCCAATGTAATGGTGTTGATTTCAGATCACCACCTATAATATCTACTGTTGCACCTTTTGCAATTAAATATCGTACTAACTCTACATGATTATTGATTGATGCCCAATGCAATAAATGACATGCTTCACTATCCGGTGTATTCACATCGGCTTGACCTGATTCAATCAATTGTTTAACTCGTTCTATTTCATTATATTGTACAGCTTGAACAATATTCATTTCAGCAGCGTTCGGTTTCGGAGGTACGTCAGGTACAGGTTGAGAAAAATGCATTTGTGAATTAGAATGTGCACACGACGACGAATGAGTATGCGAATGTCCATGTCCTTGCCCATTTGAATTAGCAGCAGAAACAGCAACTGCAGCCAACAACTGTTCATATGCTGTTTCTGTTAAATCAGAACGCATTGCTTGAAGACGAGCATACATTTGTGGATTTTTTTGTTGTATTTGAGCAAGCATTGTTGCAGAATCTTGTGGTGATAATGATGGACGAATTTGATTATTGTTCATAGTGACTGCTGTATTTTTTAACTGACGATCGTTCGTTTAGTTATTTATTGTATCGTTGTCATCGTCATTTTTGTCGTTGCTACAATCAAAATCTACAAATCTTGATAGAATGGAAAAAAAAGACCTTAAAATTTTTTTTTTATGTTATAATCAAGAGAAGCGAATGATCTTCCTTGGCAACAAGTGAGTCATTGAATACTTTTTAAATAAACCTAATATTTTATTTTTATTTTCATATTTTATGACAAATAACTATGAATCGCAAAAATATACTATCTTATTAATAATGAAAAAAAAAACAACTAGTTGTATATATATTTATCAGTAAAATTTCATTGGTTTTATGATAAACCAATCGAAGAATTGAACTCGACACCGATGAATAAAAGATAATCATTTATTCTTGTTTTTTAATACCAATTGAAGTAGGTCTTTCAGATATATCTATAATCATTTTTTTTTATACAATTGGTTTCATTGTTAGTCTATATGAAAAATTTAAGTGTCTTCGTATGTTGTTTTGTTAAAATTTGAAAACAAGTAAAAGATAAGAATTACAAATGTGCTTAATTTTCTAGTAAATTAGATTTATACGTAGCGAATAATGTAACATAAAATCATAATATAAATGATCGCAATAACCATGTAGGAATAGTCGATTTATGAATGAATGAAAAATTGATTTATTTGCGATTAAAACTTTGTTTTTTTTTTTTAATAAGGAATTATCAGTTGGTTAAGGTAAATTCTCACTTTACAAACAATCTTATTACTACTCATTGAACTATTTCGATCGAATCTTGATTAGAGAATCCTTCGGACAGATTCTGGATTGATCGAGGAACTGTATTCTAAAAGTATGAGCGCATAATTAATTACTTATACGAAACAAGGGAACCACCCGAGGTGATATATTGCGTTTGAGATGAGACTCCAATCATTACGCAGTCTCTTGAGACTAGAAGAAAAAACAGACAAACGAATTTTGGTCTAAAATTTTGTCCATAGACAGCTCTTGAAGTTGTTAGAATCTGCTAAAAGGAATGATCTTTTCTCGACATATCAAATCCACGAAAAAATTAGATTTTCCGATCTTTTAATTGAATGTTATGGTTTTTTGTTGATTTAATATCTCGAGAAGAGATCATTCTATTTGGCTGAAACTTTTAGGAGACTCTAATAATTTCAAGAACTGTCGATAGATAAAGTTTGAGCTTAAAATTCATTTGTCCGATTTTTTTTTAAATATCGTGCCAAATGTAAAAAAATTCAGTAAAACTGTAAAAGAGCAACATATTCGAAAAAATCTTTTTAGGTTTCTTCTAGTCTCGAGATATTCTACGCAATGACTGGAGTCTCATCTCAAATGCGAGATATTATCTCGGGTGGTTCATTCGTTAGATCATTATCAAGACTATCGGAGAAATGTCACGCTATGCTAGTTGCTAAATAATAATAATTAAAAAACAAGAGTATATCATTTCCTCAGAGTAGCGTTTTATTGAACAGGAATAATTCTTGAGCCGATCGAAAAATAGATCTTTCATAAGAGAATATATATTTACTTGAATTCATTGTTTTTTTTTAAATATTGTGAGAAACCTATTATACCCAAATAGCATCATGATGATTTTTTTATTCAAATATACAAATATATTTTTGTTTTATTAAATTATAGATAACATCATAATGGATATATTAGGTTTAGGATCAAAAGTCGATGCAGACTTTATACTTGATCCTCAAGGTCAACGAAAACAGATTGATGTTAAAGTGGATGATACGAAACGATCATTACAATATATTTATTATGATGGTGAAGATGTTAGTGGAACGGTAAAAATAAAATATAATTAATATAATTTAATAATTTCATTAGAAATTTATCTAGGTACAAATTAAATTAAAGAAAAATAGTAAAGTAGAACATCAAGGAATACGATTGGAATGTATTGGACAAATTGGTGAGTATAATTTCAAGCGAATTTTTTTCCCGTAGTATGATTAAGAGTTCATCATGTCTGAGATAAATTTTATATTGATGGGAAAGAATTTAAATAAGAATTGTTTGAGAATGTATAAAATACAAAAGAATACTATTTTACTATTCTATGAAAACAAATAGAAAATGTAACGGATAGTGTACTTAGGGCTAACCAAAAGTTCTAAGCCCTGTGTTTGAAGGACCTTGTCGGATAAGGTAACCTATTCAGGAATGAGAAACCAAGTATACCATATTGTAGAGCATTTTCAGGCGCATGCAATGGTATATAATAAATCCTGTTTTCATAAAACTTTGAAGGAATTCGAGCGAATTTAGGGATGAACGACTACACACCTACAATCACATTCACCGATAGCCACACTGACGAGATGATCGAAGATGCTACCTATATAAGGTTTTAACCTGTCAAAAACTCTACAAAATCATATGTAAGAAAAAATATTTTACAAATACTTTCGACTAATATCGAAGACCACAATATTCAGTATCATATCATGCTTAGCTGTCGGTATNTAATCCATTCCTAAATTATAAATAAATAAATAAATTTATTATTTTCTAAATGAATAAAAACATACAGTTAAATGTCGAACAAAATCAAAGAAGAAATCGCCTTCTGGTACACTAATAACTTTATCAAGAATTTTAACAAATAAACTAAATCCTTCACTTGATTGTAATTTAAGTCGATCAGCAACATTTCGACAAAAATCTTTTGCACGTGTTGATGAATCAACTTCAAATGCTTCTGATGTATCATCTGGAAAATAAACTTTATGATAGATTTGTGTTGTCATATGTTGTATAGCTTCAACTTCAACTTGATGTGGTGGATGTTTACGTTGACCATTTCTATATTGAATACAAAGATTAAAAAAAAGAAGGTACAATAACGAAAACAAATTATATTTACTTTAATGTTCGTTGTAATCGAGCAAAACAATCAGCAGCTAATTGATGTTTTCTTGAGCGTAAAAATAGATTAACTTCTCGTAGTAGAACAGCACTTGGCGCAAAACATCCACTTGCTAACCACATTAATTCCCAACCACGTGATTCACTTGCTTGATGTCCATTATCAGTTAATTGTTTAATTATTTGACAATAGATTTCATCTTTTAAGATTTCCTATAAAGAAAATAAAATCGTTTTTATCGTAAAAAAACAACATACGATTCTTGAATGTCTTAATCTATTCCCTGCTGAATGTGATGCCATAGCACTTCCTGTCAGATTACTTTCAAAATTTTGAACTGAATTAATTCTTAGTGAATGGGGTAAACTTTTTGGTATAATCTATCGTCAGATACTAATATAGAAAATTGTATTATAGAAAAAGGAAAGTACTTCATTGAAGCAGTCTGTATTCTATTAAAAAGCTCATAAAGATAGCCATAAATCAAGACGAAAGATCCATGAACACGAATTATTTTTTTGATTTTTCTCTCATCTCAATATTAACTATTTATTGCGGTGAGACTCATCCTCAAAGCGATACATTATTTGGCGAGATTCCTTCATTCATTTAGGATTTTTAGCGTACATTACTGGCATTTTTTACTTGACGACTATGATCTACACTTGGCAACAATGTATTATGAAAGTTTAGCCAGTTGCATGCTTTTTTGTCTTTTGTAAATGGTTGATTTATCTGACGAGGAAAGTCTCACAATTGATTAATTGCTCTTGAGTCAGAATAATATGCACCATGTAGACCCTAATCAGTTATAAATACTCCGAAAAGAGTTCAGATCTTTAGGTTACTACTACTGAAATGCTGTATTTTTTTTAAATGAATGCCATTGTCTCTCTCTCGAAATATCAGAAAAACTGATTTTCGAATTTCGATAAAAAGAATATTTCCAGATGTTCTCTGAGGAAGATTACGGATATGTACATTGTCTCGACTTAAAAGTGATTAATCAATCGAAGAACTTCTCTCATTAGTCGAATTATACAGTCTTTGAATCTGTCATTATTAGACGATATGTACACATTAGTGTATACCATGATTTCTTATTGATCGTTAACATTCTTCATCATAATAATAATTTCTTCAATGTCTCATTATCATATGCATAGATGATCAGACACTCAGCGAAGTCTGATATTTAAGACTTTTCTTTGCATCTCTCATTATCGAATATCATTCTCAAGTTATCAATAGATTCCATCCGATTCGTCAAAAATGACTGTTTTAGTCCTACATTATATTTTCGAACTTTTGAATTTAAAATATCTGCTAAATACTATTGCTTGTTTCCTTTACGTTGTAAATAAAAATATTTTTAGAAAACCTTACATGTTTAAGTGCTGGATCAAAGATGGCATCTGTTAATTCATTAGTTGCTCGACGTCGTAAATTACTTTGATAATCTCCCATATATTTAAGTATATTCATGAAACAAGCACAAGCTTCTTCACTTAACTCTAATTTTTCTTGTAATTTCTTTAATAATGGTTGTCTTAAAGGTTCTTTTTGAAATGCCCATAAACGATCTCCAGTATTATGCGTTCCACCACGTCGTGCAAATGTATTTGACCATGATCGTTTTGGTGGTACACGAAAATTAGTTTCAGCATATTTTTCTAATGTATAACCTTGTTCAGGTAAAAATTCTCCATTATTATTTCCACTAACAGAAAAACCCGAAAATAAATGTTCATTTTGTGCTTTTTGTTGATTATCATCAGACCATTGTAATGTAAATATTTGTAAAATTTCTTGTGGTGGTTTTGATAATGTTGGTAAAACATAAACACATTCACATGGAAATTCACCTGTTGCACCTGTACGTTCATTATAACCAAATAAATAACCCATAGAATTTAAACGTGGTTGATCTTCTAATATAATAACATCACCACGACGTATAGCTAAACCTTGTCCTTGTGGTTCAAAATCTTGTATAACAACAACATATTTTGATTTTCTTTTAAGACCTTCTAAGAAATTAATAATTAAATCACGTATATCATCAGCATTATTTGATGTAAATGTATATTCTTCATTTTTAATTGTTACTATTGTAAAACTATTATTTTGTTGTCGTCCTGATGATTTACTACTGAGAATTTGTGTTATTTCAGGAAATGATAATTCAAGTAAAACTTGTTCTTGATCATCAATAACATAAACACCTGTCCAATTAACAGCAATAATAACTTCATTTTTAGGTAATGTTGGTCCAGAAAATTTATATGCTTCATAAAAACGTGAAAATAATAATGGCCATTTAAATCTTGCATAATTAACAACATCTTCTTTAACACGAAGAATTGTTGTAGAATCTTTTGGATTATTAAAAAAACGTTTATGTGCATGTATTATAATTTGTAACCAACGTTCTGTTGCTTTATTTTGAACAAGTTGACTATCAGGTATATAATGAGGAAGTAATTCACGTAAACGATCAATATGCATTTCTTGACCATATTCAATATAATATTGTTGCGCGGCAATCATGGCCAGATCATCATCTATATGAATTAAAATAAAATCGAGTTATAATTTATTAATAGAATATTTATTGGTCTCTAGTGCAAAAGTCTTTTGAATAATTCAAGTGATTTGCAGAATATTAGCGCCGGTTGAAGCTAACCTTTTATGTGAAATGAGTTATCTATCAATTTAAGTCTCCTCAAAAGTTGATCTCAAATATTCTCATTTGAATTTTTCACGATTTGATCTGTGTTTTTTTTAATTACCTTTTTCACATCGATATTCTCCAAATTTGATGCCACGTACAACTTGTTGATAGATTAAATTTGTTGCTACAGAATCATCTTGTGGATTATGCCATGGAGCAAAGATTTCTTTTCGAAAAAATAATCTCCATGGTGCTATTTTTTCTAATGTGCCTTGTTCTTTAGCATATTGTTCACATTGTGATATAGCATCCATAACATGATCCATACCAGAGCCAAGTGATGAAACTTTATCAAATAATGCAATATATAATGAAAAACCAAATTTATCGGTTAAATTAATTTTTTCAGCTAATAAATCACATAATTCACGTGCCGTTGTAGCTGAATCAGCTTTTAATGCTTTTGAACTACCATCCATAAATGTTATTTGAAGTAATAATGGTTCTTTATGTTTTGTAGCCTAATATAACAAAATCATTGCAAAAAAATACTTATTGTATAGAGTAACTCTTATGCTATGAGAGAGAAGACTTCCAAATATTGTTATAAAGTCTCATATTTTTATAATACACAATAGAATTGATTTTCGAATAAGAAAGGAAGAATACCTTGCCTTCTAATATGGGATACTACCTAGCGGCAGACTTAATAGTCCCATATCTTCCCTACAAGCTATACTGACTGTAGTTTTAGAGAGAATTACAATAGAATAGCAATTGTGGAAATACTGAAAAATGTGGGTTTTTCTTTTTTTTTTCTTACTTGTAATTCAAGCCATGATGGTGGCTGTGTACGTAAACCATTCATCATTGTTCGTGATAAACGTTCATAACAATAACGTGGAAAACCACTTGGACCATTTAAAATAAAATTTTGTAAATATTTAATCAACTTTGGTGATGGAGCAAAACAACCAACACATAATGAAAGTAAAATCCAACCACGTGCAATTGATTGTGATGATGGATTTGATGTTAATTGTTTACATATTTGACAATAAATTTCATCACGTAATTCAGCAACATGAATACCAAGACCAATAATAAAATGTAATTTTTCTAAATTTGATGTTGGACGATCTTCTAAAAATGGATTCATACCAGACATTTTTATTTGTTGTGTTGAACTTAATATATCTAAATCTTTTAAACGTGTTATAGCAACATCAGTTGATAATTTTGATTTACGTTTTAATGTCATA